TAAGAAACTAGCGATGCTGTCCTTTTCTCCCCAGGGTATATTTTTAACCATTTTCAGAAATATTGCTTAAAGTGGAAATTCTGCAGATAGGTTCACAGGAGCACGGGAACCTGCCTGATTGGAACCACTCTGAGTTAGGCTCTCGCTGTCGCATGACACACGCTGTGGCTCTTTATCTTTCTCCAGTTAGGAATAAGAGGCTCTCTCACCGGCTTTTCACACGACTGCTTATGAACTATATCAGGACTACTGTTCAGATCACACTATAAAAATTGTTCTCGAAACCCAAATAAATGGTTTTCAAAATCTCTCCTGCTCCAACCAACTTAGACCAACCCCCTCATACCTAATTAATTCCCTAATAATATTTGACTCTTTCATCTTGCAAATATAATACCAAAAGTATTGAGATTATCTCTGTTAGCTGCTTGCCAGGCATCTGTGCACCTTTAGAAACTGCCACCACATCCAATCACCTGCTGTCCTTCTGTGGTTTCCTGGGAAACCAACACACTTCACTACTTCGTATCACACAGGAAACTTAAAAAAAAAAAAAAAAAAAAAAGGACCCTGCAGCATTGCCTTTTTGTCAATAATCCTAACTCACTAAAATATATCCCCATTAAAAAATAATAATGTCAAAAAAATTAAAAATAAATAAAAATAAAATAAAATAATAATAATAATAATAATAATGTCATATAAACAATAAACAGAACAGGCAGCAGCAGGAGGAAGGATGGCATTTTAATCCAGTGCTCTCTCATAGAGGAGACGCCAAGGGCTGAGTAGAAACCAGGAGGCCCAGCTTATGTGTCATGTGACCCTCCACTCCTAGGCTCCTTTTTCTCCTGTGTTTCTGCAGGGTGGTCTCACAGAAGCTCTTGGCTGGGTCTCTAGGTGCCCAGCTTTGCCACATAAAGAACTCTGCTCTTCCAGATGAAGTGCAAAGAGTCCCAGGGAGGTTTCCAGTTGGCTCTGATCAAATCACATGTGTGCCCATTAGCCAATCACTAATGAGGGACAAGGCAGAGAAGGATCACTTCCTGAAGTTCATTTGGGAAGGTCAAAGCCCACACACGAACACTGGGACATCACTGTGAGCCAGACAACCACCCAACTTCTCCTGTCGAGGCCTCATCACCCGCATCTGTCTCAGACCCCTCTCTCCATAACTGTAGGACTTTGAGGTCCATGATTAAGAGAACATACAATGATGTAGCTTCTGAGCTGTCTCCAGTGAGACTGTTCGTTAAGTAAATGGGCCTATAGATGTGGGACACGGGACGCATCCATCCTCTAAGCCAGGCTGGACATGCCTGGGGAGAGGCTACCTCCTGCAAGAACATGAGAGTCCCTTCTAGACCAGACACCCCTTCTCCCCCCATTGCCACCTGGCCATTGTGAGCTAACTTTTCCATGGGCCAACAGCTGCAGGAGGAAGGGTGGGCAGGGGTAGCAAGAGGGGGAGATGTAGGTGCCAGACAGGTGTGCTGAAGCGACATCTGCCTATGGCCATTTCCCCCAACACAGAGACCCCACAGAAGGCCTACCTCGTAAAGTGTTCCTCTAACCTTTTATACAGCTGTGCTGGAAAATGTACCAAAGTGTTTCTAAAAAGGCTTTATTTCTGCCACCTTAGCTGTGATAGCAGTGCTGGGTCTGGCCCCACTCTGTCGCCCGCCACTATGACCCTGAGAAGGTCACATGCTTATGGGGGTCTTGGCTCTTTCAGACACAAAACAAGGAGATTGAATCCAATTGCTCCTTCTCACATTTGTGCTCATGCACATCCTTCATGGTTGGGACGGTGCGGCCTCCAAGCACCAGAGGGTACAGTGTGAAGAGGGTGAAAATCTTGAACCATATGTTCAGTCTCCAGAAAACCATGACCCCTGACCCGAGTGTGCGATCCCCACTGTCATCATCCTGAGTGTTCTGTGCATTTCTCTAAGAGAGGAATGCATCTCCTCCTCTCCCTGACATACCTCCACGTGAGCTCTTTTCTCCCAAGCTTCTTAGAACCAGGATGGGTGTCTGCAGAAGGAACAAACCCAACTCTGGGGGCAATAACATAGATTCCACCTGTTTCCTTCAGGTGACCTTTGTTCTTGTCCTTGCCGGTCTTGGTATACATATAGCTCATAAGCCCCTCAAAGCCTCTGGAAAACAGAGGAAGAACAAACCTTAACTACTAGAATTTCAGGTGCCCCATCTCTTATCGGCAACCCCCAAGGCCACAAGAACCATTGAAGAACTCAGCATTTTTCAGGTGCAGGAATCCATCAGATACTATGTCAAGTCCCCAGTAGGGGCAGGGCAGCAATCTCTGATCAAACACCTTAGCATTTCTGCAGCAAAACCAAAGGATATTCACACTAAATAGTCTCACATCAGCTCAGCTCAGGGTTAGCTGCCAAATGAGCCTAACACAAGTCAGGCTTCGCCACCAGATGAGGTCACAAAAACAGCTTTTGGCTTTCAGACCACGGTGGGTATGAGATTGACGGGTGGGCCGGTGTGAGTGGGATCAGCTGATGCAAAGGAGAGCCGGAGCGGAGAGCCAGTTCCATATTTGCTGAGGCAGCAGGAGCCTCCAGGCTGCAGGGCTCCAGGGCTCCCACCCCGCCTGGGACACCGGGTAGCTTGCCTGCTCTCTGAGCCTCTCTCTTCACCCCTAAAATAGGAATAAAATCCCCACCTCACAGGCCACTCTGCGGTGTCAGAGATCATGCAGGGGGTCACTCTGTCTGCAGTAGCATCTGCTAAAAAGAAGCTCCTCTTGGATGGCTCTGTTGTCACCATCACTGTCTCATTATGGAAGAGCTGGATACTCTCTGCATCTTGGGATGTGTCAGGAGGGGACATTCATCTGACCTGCATTTACATGAGCTCTGACTCAGTAAAAAAAAGCAGAGGAACCACAGATGCATTCAGCTGCCAGCAGTTGATTGTGCCATAACATAAACAGTTTACATTTAATGTCCTGAGAAGTCCTGAATCTGTGACTTACTATTACTTTCCTGTAAATATCCAGTGAGAGCCAGATTTTCAGCCTGTGTCTGGAGAATCCCAGGAGTCTCTGGCTCCCCTGCCCACGTCCACGAGGGACTTCTGCATAGCTGAGAGGCCACCGGCTTTCACAGGCCTGCGGGACACAGGGCTGGCTTCCTGAGTGGAGGCCACTGTTTGTTAGTCCCCGGATAGAGCTTCTTGCATGGGGGCCATGTCCTCCCCATCAGATGAGGAGAGTGGCTCAGGCGTATGGCTCAGAGCACCGAGGGACTCTCTCTGGCTTTCATGAGTCTCTATACAGACCACATGTAAGATGGGGGCAAGCAGTCAGCTCTCCCTGCCTTCCCTGCCCTCACTCAAGCCTGACCACCGAGCAGAAGCTTCTAAGGAAGACACATTCCCTGGCCCTACCCCAGAGCCTTTTGATCAAGACAGCAGGAACCACGCTCAGGAATCTGTGCTCTCCCCAAAGCTCCCTAGTGATTCTGAGACAGCATTTGGGGGCCTCCTGACACCGTCTAGGGAGACAAAGAAGGACAGAGCTCAGGCATCAGAGCCTCAAGAGGAGATGCACCAGAGTTTCAGGGACAGAGCCCCGGGGTGGGGAGGTATCTTGGAGTGGGAGAGGCTTTACCCAGCCACAGGCTCCTGTTTCCCGCCTTGAACTTGAAAGCTGGACGAGGTCATGTCTCTGGACCCATTTCTGGTATATTCAGGGTGTCCAAGGCCTCTGCTAGGTCCCTGGGGGTGCATGGAGGAACCTGCTGTATTTTCAGGGTATAGGGACTGGGCATCTCCAAGTGGGGCCTGGTAGCAGAGCCTGACCAGCCTGCGGCTCCACCGCAGCAGGTGGCAGGGCTTCCAGGGGTGCAGGAAGCTCCCAGAACCACACAGCACCTCTGAGGCAGGGAAAGCAGGAGCATCCACTCGCTTGGGAGAACAGCCTCCACCCACTGTCTGTTAGCAGTGCTCTCAGTAATTTAAAGTCAACCCCCAAAACCATGAAATCGAGTTTGGCTTTAAGAATATGAACATAGAAGCTATGTGGACTAAATGTTCTTACTGGAAACTCCTGATTTATTTTATTAAAAGAAAGGGAGAGAAAGCCTCTCAGACTGACCTTCAGACGTCAACAGGGCAGGCTCTTCTGTAGTGTGTGGCCAGGGTCAGGTCTCTCTGGCCTGGGGAGGGAGGGGTGGATGGCGACATTAGACATCATGTCTCACCAGGGCCTCCCTCCTTAGTAGCCAACCCACAGAGGTCTGCATGCATGAGACATCACATAGAAATGTGTATCCCACAGAGAACACCCCATCCGCACCCCCACATGTGGTCAGGGCCGGCTCCCTTTGGGGCAGCCTGAGGACGCTGGGCCTTCCTGGCTCCCACCACGCAGTTATGCCCCATGTGGACACAGAGCACCCCCTTGAGGCTGTGTAGACCTGCCCTGGGCAGAGATTGAAGTGTAGACCCCTCCTGAGGACAGGCTCGGACACACAGGGATTAGGTGCAGCAGCTCAGGAATAGCTGGGACAGTACATCGTCCCCTTGTAAATGCAGTGGAGACACTGAGCTCAGCTGGGTGTCTGGGGGTGGCGGCAGGCTGGGGAAGTGGAGTCGGACCTCCTGTGGAGGGCGGGCCTAGGGGAGGAAGGGGAGGAGGGTGGGAACTGACTCGAACCTTCCAACTTTGGGTAACTAATGCGGTTCCTGCCTCCTGGCCACTCCTGGCTCAGCCCTGCTGCCTGTGGCCACCCTCCCCCTGTGGCCACCGGTGTCTCCCATGGCTGCCCCCCACATGCCCCCATGGCCACACTTCCCCTCTCCCATGCACCACCCCCTGCCTCCCTACCCCCCCCATGCCCACCCACCCTGTGGCTGTCTTCCCTCTCCCTCCAGGCCACCCCATCCCCCCATGCCCACCCTGCCCCCAGTGGCTGTCCTCTCCCTCCCGGGTGCCTGCTCACACCCTGTTGTCCCCCCAGGGCACCGACTCCGAGTCCGAGGATGTGCCCCCCCAGCACTCCTTCGTCAACCACTACATGAGTGACCCCACCTACTACAACTCGTGGAAGCGGCGGGCCCCGGGCGGGCGTGCCCCGCACAGGTACGAGGCAGTGGCGGGCGGCGAGGCGGGGCCGCACCTGCACACGGTGGTCACCACGCAGAGCGCCGTGTTCGCGCCCGCGGGCCCCGGCGCCAGGACTCCACTCACCGGCTTCTCCTCCTTCGTGTGACGGCCCCAGCGGGGGCCCTCCGCGGACCTCCCAGCCTACTTTTGTTAAGACAATCAACTCCAATAACTGAGCTCAAGCTTTTGTTTAAAAAGAATTCTGATAAGTGATGATTTTACCTACTTGTGGACACTAGATTTCAATTAGAAAGGTTTTTTTAACGGCTTTTTGTAACATCGCTGCAGGAAGCGGGTTTCTTTGTTTTCTTTTCTTTTTACGAGAAGGTGTATTTCAGTGGTGCAATGGCGGGAAGACCTCAGACACCCCCCCCCCCCAGCCCTGGGTTTGTCCACCCCGATGCCCAACTAGGGAGGCTACGGGGGAGGAAGAGCAGGGGTCCAGGGAGCTGTCTGCCCGCGTCCAGGCCACTCCTTCCTCTTCTCCACCTCCTGTGCCTCCGGAGAACCAGCTGCGCCGGGGTCCCCATTGGTGACACCCCTGGCTGGGCTCTCGCTGCCTCCTGGGGTCCGCAGAGCGAAGTCTGCGCTGGGCTCAGCGCTTTTCCACCCGACAGCATCCACCTCCAAAATATTCTCCCCCACAGTTTCTAGGCAAGAAATCAGCTGTCAAGTTCCCGGCGAGGGGGCCAGAGCTCGTGAGGTGGGGTCCTCTGACTCGGTGACAACTCAGTGGTTGGCACCCTGTGTCATTCCCGTGGTGAACTATCCGGCCTTCTTTTCTTCCTTTCTTCCCTTAAACCCGACGGTGCAGAGCAGAAAACCACCCCCAGGGCTGGCAGGCGCCCCGCCGGCCCTCACCTAGCAAGCTAGCTCCTTCCGGAGAACACAGCACACAGCCAACCCCGCTAACCCAGAGAGAACAAGACGGCGCTTGCAGAATTGCTTGTTGTGTAAGAGGTGTGCATTGTTAACCAGAGTATTTTTTAAATCTTTTTATCTTTTTTTAAAATATGTCACATGAAATGAATGAGTCTCTGCTGTCTCCAGGTGCCTTTTTATTAATTGTTTAGCTTTGTACATGAGAAAGACGAAAAGCGTCAGTGTCTCCAAATAAAGCAAAACAGCTCTGAGCAAACGAGGCCCCGAACTGCCCCCCTGGCCAGGCCTGCAGCGCACGTGGGCGCCGGCCTTCCTCTGGCACAGCCGCGGGCTCCCCACCCTGCCCGCTGCCCGCTGCCCAACCCCAGGCTGCTGCTCTCTCCTCCCTGACCCCAGCCCAGCTTTTAGCCTTAACTGGTTTTCTGGAAATGTTTTTCCCCCCTTTGCTATTGTTTTGTTTCAGTTTTTCAGCTACATGAAAATAGCATGAACTACGTTGCAAATTTGAAAGTCCAAACTGTAGCTGCGGCTCCAGCCAACACATTATTCTTGTGAGAGGTGTCTGACGGGGCTGAGGAGCAGGTGGCGGACCCGACAGGCCTGAGCCTAGGTTCGGGTGTACGCGGTGTGGTGCTGGTGCCAGCAGGAGTGCGCCCAGAGCTCGGGGGGCCGGGCTCTCGCCAGCGGGAGTGGGGCCATGACAGTGCCCAACCACTCTGTGGACACCCCCAAGGCCGAGGGCAACAAGGCAGGTGCAGTCTTCCTGAGTGGCCTGCCAACGCCCTGAGGGTGGGGGAGCCTGTGTCGTGGCCACGTGGACAGCCTGTGGCGTCTACTCGACTGTATTCCTTCTATAGCTCCACAGGGCCCCCTGCTTTCAGAGCGGCCTCCTGTGGCTCCAGGAGACCAAGGAGAGTTTTGTGGTGGGTGAAAAGCCCCTTTTCAGTTTTTCCAAAACAAGAGGGTGTGGAAGGGTTCCTTTCCTTCTCTCTCCCCCCACTCCTTTTCCTTCCTTCTCTCTGTCCTGCCTTCTTTCTCTGAGTGGAGGCGGAAATATTCTAAACCAAAAATCCTCGATGCTCTGCCCAAAGCCACTTGTGTGTGAGAATCACTGCCCACAGTTCACCGGCCAGGACGCGCCCTGGGTTCAAGGCGCTCCTTCCTCTCGGCCCCCAAGTCAGCGGCCAAGGGGGCAGGAAACGGCAAGGCTTACAAACTGAGCTTCTTGGAAGACAGGCGCCCAGTGGAGAACGCGGACAAACACCGCCTTCCGTGCACTTCGCTCTCTAAGCCATATGAACTTTGCTTTAAACCATGGGGGAAGAGTGTTATGACGTGTTGGAATGAGGACGATTTGGTTTGAGGTGTGTTCTTTGCTTTGGGGATTTTGCGACGACACGACACCTTTTTTTTCAGGTTCATTCTATTTTCCGTGCTTTCTCTACCTTCCCTGAACTCACTTTGTGTGGAACCGTCTGTCTGAGTCTGCACTGGCTGCTTATGGACTGTTGGCATCTGCGCTCCAGCCCAGCCCTTGGCCCTCGGCAGACTGCTCCAAAGGAAGAGCAGGTGCTCGCAGTGAGGCTTGTGCCTCCCCGAGCAGTATGCACATGGACCAGTGTCACTTCCCAGCCTCTCACCTTTACTTCAGGGAGGAAAAAAATACATCACACGAACGAACCACATTTCTTTAACTAAGACAACATGAAATGTCCTCTTCTTGCCGCCTTCTGTAGTGACATCACTCAGGGGCCCCACAGGGAGCAGTGGCTTAGCCCCCATCCCATGCCCACCCTCGTATGGGCCATTGGACATTGTGCTGACGGCTGAGCTGCCCTTCCCGTGTGAGGGTGGGCCAGCAAAGTGGCCCGGGGAGGCCGTGCTCTCTGTGGGGGCTGCAGGGCTGGGCATGCACGGGGCCGGCCCTCTCTGCCAGGCACCAGGGCACCACTCCCCAGACAGGTGAGTGGCAGGGGCAGCTATGGGCATTAAGCACATCGGCATGGCCTCGTGCACCTCCCCCTGGATAAATCAGCCCAAACCGAACCCCCATCTCCTCCAGCCTTCCCTTCCGCTTCTCTCACTGCCATGCTTTAAGGAGTGCTGAATGAAATGTCTTAGCAGAGGACGGTGTGGCCTAGGGCACTGTGGGGGCCCACACCCCCCAAAAGCGATGGAAGTGGCCCTCTGCCAGGTACAACTTCCACGCCGCCGGGAGGAAGGGTCACGTGCACGCTCTGTAAACTTCTTTTGATGCTGTGCTTGTACTTGATCACGACTGGATTGAAGCATGGTGTTTGCGCAATGGAACGTAGCATGGTTTCTAGTTTTTACAAATCCTTGGCACACAGTGTAGTTACTCTCCCAATGAGCAATCCATCCGCGTATCCCAATCGGGCTCTCCTTAGGGCAGCATCCCTATAGCATTGATCGGGTCAGGAAGGCAGAAACACTGTAGCCACCCGTGAACTGAGCTAGTCTGCCAAGGCATGCCTCATCTCCTCTCAACGTCGTCGCCTTCTGGGTTCTCTAGAGCTTAGGTCAGTCCTGAAGTTTTCCGACAATGTTTTCTGGAATTCTGCAGAAAACCAGATGTCCTTTAAAAAAAAAAAAAAAAAAAAAAAGGAAAAAGAAAAAAAAATCTTGTAGGAAGACAGAGAGGTGCTATGGGTATGATTTTTAATAAAAACATCATTTTGTTCCTTACGTGCTTGTGGTTTTCTTTAACAAGTATCGATGAAATGACTCATGAATTCTAGGGCTGTAAAGATTAGCCCCAGTGAAGTCCTAAACCACACACGCAGTGGTCCCTGACCCCAGTCCTGGTGAGATGCAGGTATGCACAGACAGCGGGGCCGAGCTCAGAGGGATTTACACTCTCCCGGGGAGACCCGCACCAGGGGCACCTGGCCATGTAGCCCCACCACCTGGCCGTGCCCCCAAAAGGCCCCCAGAGCCCAGAGGGGAGACTGCTCCCTACCAAACTTAGCCTTGGTTGGTGGGAATGTGGGACCCAGGCAAGGTCTCCCCTCTGGGCAGGGCCCCCAAGAGAGGCGTGGCCTCCCACACTCTCATGTCCCGCCAGCCTCGGAGGGGGGCTCTCAACCCTGTGCACTCTGTGAATCACTGAGTGTGCACAAATCCCAGGGCTGCGGCCACACCCAGACCAACTAAGGATCTCTAGGGGCTGGGCCCAGACACCCGCTTCTTTTTTGAAAGCTCCGCAGGTGATTCCCATGTGCAGGCAAGGCAGGCAAGCCTGGGAAAAGGCCAGGGAGCACGGGGGTTGGGGGTACAGGGGCACCGGGCCGGAGTTCCAATTTTGCCCTCTTGCTCCAGAAGCCGGCACTGCCATCACCGAGCCAGAGGTAAGAACGTTTTCGTTTTGCTCTTTTCCCCACCACTGACTGCCTACGTTCCATCCTCCCTAAGTATGAAATTGAAATCTGCGAATTTCCCTCTGTGCCCAGGATGTCACACTTGTGGCTGCGTGTCCGAGTCAGCGGATGGTTACTGAACACCACTGTTTGCCAGATTCGTCTGTTCATCGCAGGCCCTGGTGCCACAGGCGCAGTCAGGGCTCTAGTCTGTGATGAGGAAATGCCCAGAGAGGGGCAGCCACCTGGCCGGGGGAAGCCAGCCGGGGAGGGGCAGGTCGGGCTCCGAACCCAGGTGGCTGGGGCTGCAGAGCGGGGGTCTGCTTTCCCCTCAGCTTCTCCCAGGAGGTTGGGACGCAGAGCCTTGGGGAAGCTGGTGTCCCTCCCCGCAGCTTGGAGCCTGGTGGCGGAGAGGCACCTGCGCAAAAGTGTGCAGGCACGGGAGGCTCCGTGTCCCCGTGTGCTCTGCTCCTGCACACAGATAAAAGGTGCGTGTTTGCTTGGCCTGTGCCTGGAAAGCTTCGTCGTGGTGACTGTCGTCATGGGAAAGTTCATGGGAGGCCTTTGTAAATGCAACATTTATCACCGGGAACAGATACCCCCACTGCCGTGTGGGTGACGGGTAGATGGACTGCCCTAGGCAGGAAAAGCAACATGGGTGAGTCCCGGACGCAAAGGCCTGACTGTGCTTCCTTGCCTCCTGGGGGCAGGATGGGGTGGGGGGTGGGGACCGGGAAGGGGTAGCAGCAAAGGGTGGCCTGCTGGGGGCCCATGCCCGCCTGTGAGGAGCCCAGGGATTCCTACACCCTGAGCCCTGCAGAGCCTGGCCCCAGACAGACCAGAGCTCACATCCATGGCCCTGGGAGCCGGGGTGGGGTGGCGGGCGGTGGTGGTGGGCTACAGGGGTGCAGGGACCTGCATCTCCAGGAGTCAGCCTTCCATGGAAGGGAACTGGGTCTCTGCGTCCTCCTCGACTTCACCGAGAGCCCCATCCACAGGATAATGCGGACCTAGACACCGCTAGGGTGCTGGGGCCCCTGGCAAGGCCCTCAGCAAAGCACCTCTGAGCAGACCTGGGCTCCTGGGGTGGTTCACACTTTGGCTGCTTTTCTCAGCATTCCTGCACCCCCGCTGACTCTAGGGCATCCCTGTCCCCCAGGCCACCTCCCAGATGGCCGACAAGTGCCCAGGCTAGGCCGAGGGTGGTGTGACTGACTTCTCCATGCACAGTGAATCTGTGCACAATAGCAGAAAAGCAAGCTGGAGGGGCCTCTGAATCTCTCCTGGGAGATCGTCTTGCTTTCTGCCAGTTTCCAAACTGTTCCTGTCGACCTGGCAAGCTCCCAATGTTCTTTCGATGAGTTCCGTTTGCTTAGGTTAGCCTGAGACTGGTCACCTGTTTGCAGTGGAAGAACCTTGCTTCTTGCACTTGGGGCAGGGCCTCCTCCTCCTCAGGCCTGAGCTCTGAGCACCGGGGCTGCACCTGCAGGGAGGAAGGGGCCGGCCTGTGGGGCTGCAGAGGCTGCAGAAGGGCCCCCTACCCCGAGGCGTAACAGCCACACTGCTGCCTGGGCTCAGGGAAAGGTCAGTGTGGCTGGGCTTCAGGATAAGGCAAACAGTGGGTCGTTACTGAAACGATTTGCCAACCAAGGAGGGCCCTTGTTCGCAGTGAGCTATGGCTGGAAGCCTGAAGTGTGTTTTCTGCTAAATGAGGTATTTGGGGGACAAAAAAAAAAAACACTCAGTGAAAATTGTGAACTGTCTCTAAATGGCCCCAGCCTGGTGGGGCTCTATCCCTGTAGGTCTGCAGTGTTATGCCCACCCAACCAGAGTATTTGGGGTTGACTCATGCAGATGAGGACACAGAACCAGTGCCCTCCTGCCGGCACACCTGTGGGCTTGTGGCTCCTCCTCCACGCAGCCACAGCCTCTGACCCTGACCAGGAGGGGGGGACCCTGTCAGCCCCGAAGCCCCACCTTGGACCTCACCGGGCTTCCACCTGCAGGAAAGATAAGCCAGGGGGTTGAGCTGACTGCATCAGGGGTGGCCTTGACCCTGCAGCCTCCGCCTCGAGATGATCAGAGGTGACCCCACCAAGGCTCTACTCACCCTGGTTCTGACCTCGGGCACCGAGCCCCACAGTGCCAAGGAAAAGGCGAAGCAGAAAAGAGGTTTGGAGGTTGGTGACAAGGCCTCACCACATTTCCTAAGAAAACTGAATTTTGATGAACTGGTTGCCTGTTAATGTGACATTCACAGTGGGTTTTAGAGGTTCGGTTCTGTCTCCAAGTGGAACCGTTCTCAGACACCATTTTTGGGAAACACAGAAGCTCTTGCAAACCTTCTGATTAAATAGTCCACTTTCCTAGAATTATTGGTTCACCAGATGCCTCTTGTTAAATGGTCTGATCGTGTCCATGGCTTCGCTTGTACAAGTGCTTCAGGATTTGCCAAAATTTCTTTCCCTTTAATGGTTTAAGTCAATTAACAGCCAGCATGGGCGAAAATTCCAAGCTGTTAATTTTGGGCTCCACGGTCTTAAAATGTCCTGCTTCTCTTCAGATAAGACCATATTCTACAGTCATTGAGCAAACCACTACATTATGGGGTTGAATGTGATCCAGGTTCAAATATTTTAATAAAAAAATCATATTTCTGAGCCATTCTGAGATGTTTCTATGGGATTCTCCAGCCAGCAGATGGTATAATCAGCTTGATGACTTAGGGGGCCCAGTTGGGGTCCCCAAAGGGAGCCCAAAGGAAAGTCCCATTCAGCTGGTGGAGGCCCAAAGCCTGCAGCTGAGAGTCCCGTGCTCTCTGTCTTAGGGAACATTTTTTCAAGAATGTTCAGGCCCAGAAGATTGGCGACTGGCTGCTCCAGAGATACAGTGTGATGGAAGCAAGACAGAAACCCAAACAAGCCCCTCAGAAGGTCTCCAGGGGCATCTCAGATGGAGAGGCCACACTGTGTCCTGGGGATGCCAATGAGGGGAAGGCCCCTTCATCATCCACCCCACAGTGCCCACTCGCCTCCTGTGTAGACCTGGAGACACAGCCCTCCTGGCCCGGTGCTGACACAGATGTCCCCAGGCCACCTGAGGTAGGAAATGAAATTTGCCATGTCCACACACTGGAGCCTATGCAGCTGTTTGATGACGTCTATGGGCACAGAGCAATCTTCAAGTTACACCCTTACGAGCAAAAATAAGTGTGCTCTCACGTGTGAGCATGCACGTGTGTGTATGTGCACACCCATGCACACACATCAGGGTGTGTAGAGGCCGTCTCTGGAAAGATGGACATGAACTTGGTAACAGTGGTTGCCTCTAACCTTGGCGCTATCTGAATTTGTCACCACACACACACATAGTATCTTTTCAAACAGAAGAGGAAGAGTGCCAGGGCATCTAGGCTGACGCCCCCCACCCCAGTGCCTGTCCTTTGTGGGCTTCTGGGCGCTGGTCACAGACATGAATTGAAGAGGGTGGGCCATGACCTAGTCACGTGGTCTTGGGAAGATCGCTAATGTGCCTCGATATATTTATTTTCTGTAACGTAACACTAAGCTGTTTGAAGACATAAGTGAGAAGTGAGTGGGAAAGCAATCTGAAGTCTCCAAAGATAAGTGACTGTCACTTTATTCCTGTTGTCCCCATGACCACCAGCTCAGAGGGGCCCCCTCCGGTGGGGGCCCTGGCCACGCAGGGGTGCAAGGGAGGATCAAATGTGGTCTGGACTGCTCCATGCCAACCATGCCAAGCCTTCACCATATCAACCCCTTCCTGCTTGTAGGGGTTTAGGCAAAAGTAACCCCATTCAAAACAAAATCCACCACTCTCGCTTTGGAACAATTTATGCTCTTTTAGCTAAGAAATCATACCTTGGGTCAATCCCATCTTTCATTTAGAATTTTAGATACTGGGAAGTATCATACATTTCTTAATATTATTAATGAAGCTTTGGAGATATTTGTGTATTGAACTCATGACTTGAAAACACAGGTAGCCGAGCCCCGCTCTCCCCCTGCCCTGTCTGTCCTTTCTTGCCCCGCCCCCCCCTCCAACCCCCCATCATGTCCTCCTCCTCCTGGCCTCCTTAGTAGCCTCTACTCACAATCGGCTCTCATCATGCCAAGAACAATCACCACTAAATGTGGTTTCTGAATTTTCTATTGCCTTTGAGTGACTCAGAATCCAGCTCGGGCTCAAACTGGAAACACACTAGAATCTCAATGAGGCTGCAGAGAATCCTGGTGGCTACAAGCAGAGATGACTGGAAAGCCAGAAGATTAATGCTGGACAGGACAAAGCACTCGGTTAGAT